ACCAAGTAAGTGATGCCAGGTAAAACTCAAGTCTGCACTTCCCTGCCATGTAAAATGACCCTATTTTTAACTCACAGCAGGTATACATACATGTATGATAAAAAAACTACAGGGGGCCTGGGGATTTAGCTCAGTGGCACCATTCCTGCCATGCAAACACAAGGTCCTGAGTTTGAGCCCCACCACCAAAAGAAAAACACACCAAAACTACAGAGAATATCTAAACTAATAATATAAAAATTATTACAGTAAAAAAACACATTGCCGTTAATCCCCCTTAAAATACTTTCTTTGCTTCAAACACACTTATCCCATCATCTTGCCACTTTTGGAAGCAGTTCTGGAAGTCCTCTTGAGTTTCTTTGCATGTTCTGAATCAATTCAAAACATTTATGGCAATTTTTTCAGGAGGGGTACTGGGGATCAAACTCAGGACCTTCCACTTGTGAGGCAGGCAGCAGCACCACCGAGCCCATTTATGGCAATTTTTGTCAGATAAGAACGTTATGGTATGTCTTTATCCATATTATTCACTGGCTCTCATACCAAGAGACCTCCTGCCCTCTGCAAAGTCAAAATGACACTGAACAATAAATGCTTTGATTTATTTAGGACATCAAGGAAGCCAGGCTCAACTAAAAACATGGAAGAGAGCTTCCAGAACTGCTTCAGAAAATGGCAATAAGGATGGGGCAAGTGTGTTCAAAGCAAGGTGGAGTATTTAGAAGAAAATTAATAGCAATATGTTTTTTACTGCAATAATTTTTAAAAATTTAAACATTCACCATATTCTTCGACCACACCTCACACTGCAAAGCACTCCAGGTTTGCACCCTGGCTTCTACACCACAGAGCTGGTGGTAGTGATCTGAGTATTATAAACCTACCCCTTTCTCTAGGACTCCATTTTTATCATATGTGAAAATGGCTATGTTAGCAGTACTCAGCCCTTACAGCTGTAAAGACTAAGGAAGATAACCCACACAATGTGTTGACACCCAGTGAGCACGCGTTGAAGGTTAAGACCTCCAGCTACCATCACTGCCACCAAAACCACTCTACTCTCACCTGCTGAGGGTGGAGACAGTTCTAGAAAATGGAAAATTGGAGCAAGTGCTAGAGAAAACAGGTTTTAGTTAATAAAGGATCCATTAAAGTACATAACCCATATGCACAAAAAACATGAACAGCCAAGTTTCAAGATGAAAGAAGTCTACCTAGTAAAACATACTGCCTAAAGAAATTAACCTAGCTAGTAACTACAAATTAAAACAGTGACTCGATACTTTTTCTCTTTCAAATTGGCAAAGTTTTTGTAATTATAATGACTAATGTTGGTCAAAGTACAATAAAATAGGCACTGTAGTGTTTTTACAAAGTTATCTAGCACCAGAAGCCAATAAATGCTCACTACAATGTACTCAATAATTTCATTTCTAAGTAATGGTTCCTAAAGAAGCAAGCCAAAGCGTGGAAAATTTGATATGCATAATGATGTTCATCACATCATTTAGGAAGAAAATGGTATAGATTATGCACATTATAAAATATTAGACGCTAATAAAATGAATGTATAAAAGTATAAAGGATTGTGGCCAAAATCTGAGACAATGCTACCTAAAAATAGCTCAAGATACTAAACTGAATATAATTCATAATTGTAACGTGGAAAAGAGTAATTTATAAAGGAAAATGTTAGTAATTGTTTTGGGAAAGGATATTAAAAAGTAAATTTTTGCACCTCTAGTTTTCAAATATTTCAAAATATGGATCAACTTCTTTGGAAAACAAGCAGGCATCTCAACTAATATTCCAAACTGCTCTGATAAAAACCAGATTACCCACTGGAATTCATGTGTGCATTTCTTTTCATCAACAGTACAGAATGTATAAGCCAAGTAACTACCTCTGGAAGGGCTCTGTTTCCATAAAGTGAGTCAGAATTAATATCCAAACACTATGGAGGTTGGTGGAAAAGAACAATTTTCCATAGAAACAAGCAAATCCCTACCTTGCCCTCATTCCTACCTATTTCCACTTACAGGTTGAGGGAAAAGCAAGATGAAGTTAGAGGAAAGCCAGAGCCTTCATCCATGGGCAGCTCACACTAGCTCACCCACTACAAAGGAAGGTGCTACAAGTCAATGGAGTCTGTGTCAGTAGCCTTTCCCAGGGGGTTTCCATAAAGGAGTCTAAATGGTTTACAATTCACCAGGCACCTCCATCTTTAGTGCATCAGAGCAGGTGAGAGACTTTGTAAGCAACAGACAGGCAGGATGCAGGTAGGAAATTCAAATTCTTATTTTTCTCATAAATTCTATCACCTGTCTCTTCAGGCCTTTCTGTCTTTATGCAAAAAGGAGTCAAGTCTCACAAGCGTAATGAACTGGACAAAATTACTGAATATTCCTTACCAACTGAGCACACATCTGCAACACCAGGCAGGCGATGGATTTGGTACCTCAGTCAGAGGTCTCTCCTAGTGCAGGAGTCTATGCTACAGTACGCCTGTACCCAACAGCCTGCTGTTTCCTAAACCTCCAGTTAAACAGGCAACCCTCTAACCACAAAAGAATGTGTCAGTGAAACTCAAAGGAGCCCTACTTGTCTCCTGGGTCACAAATAAGTCAAACAGTACATAGGCTTAACATTGGGATTTCAAGCTATGTTAAAGGTGTCTAAAATGGAGCAGCGTGGATACCACTTTGTTTACCCAGCCAGCCAAGGGCTGTGCCACTGGAGCCATGCAGGCTAGCTTGGCCAGGCTCACAAAGCAGCTTTATGGCTCTGGGGCCCAGCCTTCATGACCTTCTGTTAAGCGGTCTCAGGCATTTTGATGCATCCTGTCAATCCAGCTGCTGACCTTAGCAATAAGCTCAAATCCCTCAAACATTTTTTCTTCTTTCTAGCATCATAACTTTTGAGACAAATGACTCTTTCCACAAATAACTGGGGAGACCTCCCAGAAGTGTTTCCTTCCTGAGCATTTCTCCACCTCCTGTCACACCTCCTACCGCTGGCAAAGCAGAAATCACCCACTTTACATGCTGTTATTTAACAAAAACCAACAAAGAGAAGACTTCATTTGGAAAGATTTTCATCCTCTATTAAGCTCCGGGGGTTGAGTGAAATGTTCAGGGAAAAGGGTAAACTGTCATAAACTGATATGATTCTGGAACAACACTACAAGTTGTTTTAAACGAGCAAAGTGTATCATTTTGTGCCAATAGTAGTGATCTGATACTATTTGAGTTTAAATCTCTCCTTTGACCTAAGGAACTATAAAAAGAAAAGAAGAGCAAGCTTCCAGGCCCTGTCTTGGATTTCCCAGTGTGTTCAGATTATGACCACAGGAGGAAGAAAGCATACCACTGTGTATGTGAGGTCTAGGAGTTGGTCAGACTGCTGCAGTTGGGCACTGCCTCTCAGCCCCACTGCAGGATCAACCTGGGGAGTAAGTGCTGGGTCAGCCAGTGCTATCTGCTGGGCTCTAGTCACTCCCTAACCAGAAGGGGTGCATCCAGGGCCTGCGCTGCACCCAGCTGCCCGGGATGCATGAGGAAACGTTGCTCATTCAATTTAGAAACAGATAAACCCTTTCTGAGAATGACACATCCAAAAATAGCAGAGGCCACCTATCTTCTTTTTATACTTCACGCTCTTCCTGCACCAGCTCTAAACAACATCTACACTGGTGACTCCAACTTCTCTCCTGAGAGCTGGATTTCTAGTTGCCTTGTTCCAAGTGCCGTGCTACTTAGCTTTCACATCTGACCCATCACAGGATCCTGTCAAGTCTATTTCCCCGCGTCTCAACACACAGTGTTCCTCCATTCCCACTGCCCCAGGCTTCAGTCACTCTCCCCAACTCCTCTTGGGACTACTCAAGTCCCTGAAGGGTCCTATGAAGAGCTATCAGCCCCTCTAATCCATCTTGCACTGCCATTCAAGTCAGTTATTAAACACCAGCACGGAGCTCCCACTTGAAACCATCATGTTTCCCAATGGCTTATGGATAAATGCTAAACTCCTTAGCATGATGCCCATCTTTACCAACTTCTTTGTCCAAACACATCCTCTGCCACATCTTACCATCCCTAACCCACCTGTGCTCTGCATTATTCCCCCTCATTCCAGACACATCTTCACAGCCTTTTTGTTTCAAGAAGTGGCTTTCCCTCTGCACAGGACATTCTGCTACTCCATCTCTACGCTACCACTCTCATTAATCTCTCAAGGCCATACTCAAACATCATCTCCTTTGGGAAGCTCTCTCCTGTCCCTTCAGTTACAAGTTTTCTGTTCCTCTAGCACTTTCTGTATATTTCTATCCTAAAAAATAAATGTAACAGCAGTGATCTGTTCAGACATGGTTTCCCCAGAGACAAAGGTGTAAGTCTTGGAGGGCAAGGACTGTATCTTTATTTGTGAATCTAGTACCAGGCTGCACAGAGTACACACCCCATAATCCATCAACCAGCCACATGATAAAAAGGCTGTAAAAGGAATTAGGGTGAGACAGTGAAAAGATGGTCAGGATACTTGACTCTAGCCCCAAACTGCATCTGAGTTGTGTGCTGTGGACATTTATTAATCTCTCCAGGCTTTAGCTTCCCATCTGTGAATGACGTCTCTTTCACTCCTCCATTTTAGCAGTCTGTTTTCCTTTAAGATCTACAGTGAAGAAAGACTATGAAACGGTAATATGTTCCAGGAGTATGGAGGTTTCTCCACAAAGCCCGCCAGGAAAACACCTTGTAGGTGTCCAGGCAGAGCTCCCAAGGATACCAACAACAGAGGCTCCTCTCCTCCACTCATCAATCCCCAGGTGCCTTCTACTCTGCTTCACTCGACAAATCATGGCCCCAAAATGGCTTATTAGATATAATGCACAAGAAAAAAAAATCTGAAGACAAAAATTTAACATGCCTTGAAAGCAGTGAGTGCTAAAAACATGACAGCTTAAAAAGCCAAGCTGACCATCTAGGCTTGATAATCACCTGGTGACGCCGTACTCTGGTGGTGGCTGGTACCTCAGGACGGCCACTTCTGTTCTCGCAGGCTGAGGGGCAGGGTAAGGCTTGACCATATCATGGAGCATCCCAGGGTGCTGGTCACTGTAGAAAAGACCATGATCCTGGTTCTTGCTGGCTGGGGACATCATTTGCTTGGTCTTGAAGGGGTACTCAGGCGGAGGACCTCGAGGGTCCAGGACTTTCCCAGCAGGCTGGGCTGGCGAGGGTCCCCCTCCTGCTTTGAACCCCTTTCCAGTCCCTGAGCCAGGGAGGTGTTGCTTAGCACCATTTCTCTCCAATGACAGCTGCATGATCCTTTCACTGAGGGAGCGGACATGGCCCTGCTTCAGTTCTTTCAGCGCCTCATCCTTATGCGCCTGTCCACTGTTGGCACGGCTCACTGTAGCCCTTCCCTCAGTGCGAGACTTCTGACTGGTGCCCCCAGCCATGTAGTAACTGTGGCCTGTGGGCCCCTGCTGCTGCTGCTGCTGCTGCTGTTGCTGCTGCTGCTGCTGCCCTCTGAAAAACTGTGACTGGGCCTTGGCCTCCTCGTAAGTGGGCAGCTCCTCATTGTTCTGCTGTGGCTGTGTGGAGCGGACCTGCTTCTCCATCACCGTGTTGTCCACCTGGTGTTCTTGACCCTGCGGTTCCTGGCGTGCTGACTGGTAGACCATTTGTGGGTCTTCTTGAGTGAGATTTTCCGTGGAAGAAAAGTTGTTTGTAGGGTGGGCTGGTCCTGCACTCCCTGTGGCCTGGTGCTGAATGGCCAGCAAGTTCATGTTCTCAGTTGGGGTGCCATATCGCAGTTGTTCCTGGATCAGCCGCTGTAATACTGTTCCAGCTGCCGCATCCTCGGAACCTCTCATTTCCACCTCTGAGATCCTCAGGAAGTTCGGGGAGAGGAAGTTACAAAGAGGATCCTCAACTAAAATATAAACATAGAGAAAAGATATCAGGCTGTTCCCCAGGAGATACATGTCTGTCAGTATGTGGTAAATAATGAGCATTATAACTACAGCAACACTTAAAGATAAAATTTCAGACACACCACTACCTCCGTCTATCCTGCAATGTCTCACAGATGTGTTTCTCCAACTCACTCTACTCTCCATTCCCTCTCCTCCCACTCCTCCAAGACTTCCTCCATCCTTCAGCCTTTCCCTTTCCTTTATCCTCTCCAACTGCCCTTTCTTTTCATCACATAAACATAGCCATCAAAATCAAACACAAAGACCTCTGATTGTCACCCTACAATCTCCTAATCTCCTTCCTTCTCTTCTGATCAGCTTCAGTAAGCAACACATGCTTACTGTCTTTGTGTTCCGAATGCTCCATCCACTGCCCTGATCGGCTACCAAATCCAACAAGAGTTTTCCGACTCATATTATACACTTAACCTTTCTGAAGCGTTCAACATGGTTGATCACTCTCTTCTTGAAACTCCCTCCTAAGTCAGTGTCCAAGTCACCTCTCCTCCTGCCTCTATACCCATCTTCTCTGGCTCCTGTTTCTCCACTTGCCTCTCAAATGCTGTATTTCAGCCCAGCTCTGTTCTGAGTGCTCCTCTACCCTCACTCAACAGAATCTCTACTCTTGTCTTCAACTCGTCTTGAAATCCACATCTACAATGGCAGCCAATAGCTCTTAAGGCATTCTACCTTAACACATCTTCCTTACCCCCAATGCTTACACAGTCCAACTCTTGAGCCCCATCTCAGCTACTTCTTCTCAAGCCAGAAACAGGACAGTTTTCCAAAATTCCCTCCTCTCCTTCTCTCCAATACCCAGTTAGTTACTATCTGTTAATTCTACCTCTTAAATATCACTGCCAGTCCTCTTCTTTACTCCCATGTCCATCTTGAACTATCATTATTCATAATTATAATATAATCACAGGAACTATTTTTAAAGTGTATATGATGCTCTAGGTATTACACTAAATTCTTCCCATATGTTATTTCATTTTTCTCCATGCAGTCCTATAAAGAGGTATTAACTCCCCCACCTTATAGAAGAAGAGAGGCTGAGAAGGTAACCCACACAGCCCGCACAGGTAGGGACTCCAACTCTAGGCTCATTCAGTGGCATCTCATACCCAGATCACTTCCACAGTGTTCTTATTGATGCCCCTGACTCTAGCCTCATTCCAATTTCCAAACCCACTATTCAGACTCAACTTATCTTCCACACTACTTTGAAAAATTGTTCCAACAGGAAAATCTAATTATATCATTTATCTGCACAAAATTCATCAATTATCAATTACACAAGAATGCTGACATTCCGTCACAGACTGTCTACCTATCTGGCAACACTTCATGTCACCCCTGGTAACCTCTGAGTTTAAGCTCCAGCAGTTCCTAGGAATGTACAGTTTGCAGGATGTGCTGGCTTTCTCTAGCCTCTGGGCCTTTGTGGCATCCTTCCCTCTTTCCAGAAATATGCACCTCATTATGTCTCTGGGGAGACTCCATCCTTTAAGTGCCAAAGCTACCTTCCCTACTACAACAGCAGGCATGACTCTTCGTCTCCAATGTCCTCAACCCAGTTGTACATGTTGCTACTGAAGCAATAATCATAGTAAGTGGCAATTATTTATTTACACCAGACTCCAAACTGTACAACAGCCAGATCAGTCTTCTCATCTGTGTCGCCCTGGCACTCGGCACAACGCTGGTCTCAAATACTTAACCAGTACAAGAATACTTACACAGGACACATGAAATGGAATACCTAACCCATTTCATAACAATACTATTAAGCAATGATTAAAGATAGCATGTGGCACGGTGGTGTGAAAGCTCCACCCCCACTTACTATTGGCCTAACGTTATTCTGAGCCTGAGTATTCTCTCCTTGAGTAAGAGGAGCTGACCAACAGCATCTCCAGACACCCTGAACCTTTACAGTGCCATTAAATGGTAGCTCTGTTTTTTATAGACACAGAGAGCACATATTTTTCCCAAACACCATCTTTCTTCCCTAAGCATATCTATCTTCTTTCTTATAAATGGCATCCTCATCCTATGAGTCACACAGATAGAAATTTCATAGTCACTTTTTGCCCTTTCTCTCCTTTGCTTCTCATATTTAATCAACTGTCAAGCTAGTTTTTTTTCAGGCCACAGAGAAATGAAAAAGTGAAAAATAGAAATAAATGTAGAACTGCTCATAAGATATATGCATATGACTTGTACATACATGCTAGCACAACTATGTATGTTTTTATGCAGACACTTGTTATTAGGTTTACAACTGTCTTTTTTGGCAATGGTTATCAAGGATTATATTCCTCTTCTTTAGAATTAAAATGAGAAAATATGACAATAAATGACATTTTAGTGTCTTTGTAATAGCAAAAGACAGAAACTCTCTGTGGGTTCTCCAATTTTCATTAAGAAATTTACTGCAAGCTCTCACTTCTGCTCCAATGTGATCTCCCGTCCACCTGTTCTTGCATGCCCTTGGCCATGCCTCAGTGTGGCCCCTTGACAAATGCTGAGATGTATATAGCCTCTTAAAACCTTTTGCCTCAGGCCTCTTCTCCTTCCCAGTCACACTGTATTTATTACTTATCTTCCGCTACTAGAATTCAAGCTTCAGAGGCAGAAAGCATTGTCTGTCATATCTGTGGGTTGTGTTCCTGATGCCTAGAGCACTGCCCTACACCAGGAGGCATCTTCCAAGGAAAATTCAAGCAGGGTACATGCTGGATTCTGAAGCTATACTTCAGTCATATGACTCTCCCTGTCCTTGGCGAAAAAAATTCATCTCTGACCTTGGTCAAATTATTGGGCTTCTCTGAGCTTCTCTCTTCTGAAAAGTGGGGAGACTAAATATCTGCCTTATGGAAGTGTATATACAGTCAAACATTCCTTACCTTTAGAGACTATATAGGACCAGTGAGATGTAAACTCAAAGTGTAGCAATAAAAACAGATTACCAAAAGGCCACATGTGACAAATTACCAAATAAATGTAATGAACAATGAGCAACCCAAGGAAAAAGATGAGTGTGGGTTGGACTGCTCTACTCACTCACTCAATAAAAATGGACTGCAAACGTTTATATTTTAAGCACATCGATAGCTGTTAGTGTTTCAGCACTAAAGAGGACAGAACAGATCTGAAGGGCTTCATGGAATGAGCACATTTAAATAAGAATAGAAAATAAAGATTTTAATAAAATAACAATATAATTTCAATGGGAAAATTGTTTCTTTGGATGAAAAATAAAAGGAATGGGTCTCAACAAGCATAAAAACTACTGAATTCCTTCTTCACTGAAGTAAGAGACGAACTAGCAAACTTTGGCAAGAGTTATAAAATGGTTTTAAGGATTTCCTCATAGTTTTACCAGTCTCAAAAAGCCAGGCATGGTGGTGCATGCCTACAATTCAAGCACTCTGGGAGACTAAGTCAGGAGTATAACATGTTTGAGCCTAGCTTGGGCAACTTAAAGAGACTCTTGTCTCAAAATAAAAAATTTAAAAAAGGGAGAAAGAGGCGTAGCTCAGAGCGAAGGTCCTGGGTTAAGTCCTCCACCAAAAAAAGCCTTCAAAAATAGGATGTTTTTACATAAGAGGTAGCTCCTTCCCTACTATAGTTTTGAGTTATTTCTTCTGCACTTGTGAACTACTTGCAAAAAGAAATAAAAATGAAGCAGAAAAAGAAAACAGAAACAAAAGATTCTGAGAAAAAGTAAAAAGTATTTTTAAATTAGAGAACAATTAGGGACTAACTGATGTAATTCCAAAGCTCCTACACAGATACCACTCTTGAAAAGGGAGCCGCATATTAGAGCACACAGCCTTAGTAATATCACACCCCAGCATGAATACAAATATGGCACCTACCAGCAAAGAGAAAACCCATCATTCAATATGCTGATTGTTAAAATGAGGACAGAAAATGAAGACAAATTTGAATTACAATGGCTCCCTCCCCTCAGGGGATCTATGCTAAGAACTCTTGTGGGCACCTGAAACCAGGGGTAGTACCAAAGCCCGCACATGCTGTTTCTTCTACATACCTATGGTGATGTTTAATTTATAAATTAAGCACACTAAGAAATTAACAGTGGGCCAGGGATTTAGCACCATGCCAGCCTCGCAAGCGCAAGGTCCAGAGTTTGATCCCTGGTACCACACACACACACACACACACACACACAAAAGAAAAGAAAGAAATTAACAGTAAATGATAAAGAAAACAATTATAACAATATATGGCAATGGTGTTATTTAAAAGTTATAAACTATTTATTCCTGGTATTTTTCATTATATTTCCAACCACAGCTGACCTCAAGTAACAAACTGTGAAAGCAAAGCTCCCATAGATAAAGAGAGAGCCAAAAAAAATGAGAGACATAAGGTCATTTTGTTTTGCCAGTACAAGTGCTAATGAAAGGACTTACCAACTTTTTCCCTGATGTTACTGTTTGCCTCCACAGTCAAAGCAGATGCTTCGTTCCTCCCAGAATAGAGCTGAAGGTCTGAGAAAAACCAGTCGGGGTCTTCTAGAATCTGGATGGGACTGCTAGGACTGTGACAGACAGGAGGCGGAGCTGGCAGAAAGAAAGTAACGTGTATATTAGTGCCAACCAAGCGCCCCCTCCTTCCTGTGTGACTCAGGAAAGACCGCGAAGCGTTCTCCCACATCTCAGCTCGTGGTGGCGGCTCTTGTCTTTCTGATTCATATAATTCAGAACTATCACAAGGCCCCTACCGCCCACCAACATGACCCATAAGGTCAGTCACAGTGAAGGCATGCTGAACAAAGGCATGAATGCTTTCACACAGCCCAGTTCCAACAAAATTCAGGTCCCTATAAAAATTAACAAGTCACAAATTCCGAAAAGGTGAAGGTGAGGGATAGAAAGGAGGGAGATGGACAGGGGCCCAGCAAAGGAAAACTAAAATGGGAAGAGAGCCAGTTCTCAAAATATATAAAAGGAATGGTCACTTTGCCAGATCATATATTAGCAAAAGAATTTCCCAGCACAGGACAGAGCAAGCTCACTGGAAGGTTTCTCAAGTCTCATGTTACAGTGTGGAGCTGGGGTTCTGGATTTTGGGCCTCTGCCAAGCACTGGCCTTTCAGCTTCAGTTTATCTGCTCACACACAAACCAGAGTGTGCTTCCTCTTCCAATTAAACTTGACACAGCCCTCAGTCCTACAGCCACTGAGCGAACATAAGATACCACTTCAATAACACTGATTCCACACCACCATCCATGGGAATTTCCGGCACTCGGGGCCAGCCTGTCTTCCTGCTCTGCTCAGACTGGGTGGGCACCAAGTTCAAGGCTCTTTTTGGCAAAAATAACTTAATTTACTTTGGAAAGTCATATTTTTTTAAAAAATGAAAATTATTTTCCCAAAGACAATTCTATTAGAAGAACAGTAAAAATTTTCAGCAATTGTTCCACTTTGGTCATTTGAAATTTCTGCCCAAATTTGTTATCCATTTCCCACAAGGCTAAAGCTACTAGTAAATGGCTAGGTATACCAAGGACTGTACGATGGTGATGCACTTGATTTTTTTCCTGGTGTCTACATGTAGGATCACCTATATCATAGGTATGCACGTCTGTCCCAAGGAGAAAAAAAGACTTTGATAACTAGAATATTTATTTATTTTTTTATTTATATTTTTATTTTTTGAGACAGCATCTCACTATGTAGTTGAGACTGACCTGGAACTCACTATGTAGCCCAGGCTGGTCTCGAACTCACAGTGCGTCCCAAGTGCTGGGATTACAGGCTAAAATATTTATCTTATAAATTGTAAATAATGTAGTTGTGACTGTCATATTAAAGATGAATACAAACCAAGTGTGAATGACATATTGGATGTAGACCACTTTAAAACTACTGTTCCAATTCATAAGAGACTGTTTGTCAGCCTTCTCTTTTTCAGCCAACTTCTCACCCCTTTTTGGGCCTCATCCTCCACATCCATATATCTGAAAGTCTAAGGCTAAAATTAGGAGTCATGGATGGCTTACAGCCAAAGTCAAATTCTGAACTGCCTTCTACTTTCACAGTTGTCAAACTAAAGAGAGACAAGGTATAATTAAAAATATCCGGGAAACTTTTAAAATCCTACAACCCAGGCTCAGTCAGAATCTCTGGGAAGTAGGACCTGGGCATCTGCATTTTATCAAGTTCTTCAAATGATTTTAAGGTACAGCCAAATCTTGGAAGCCCAAAGCTAGAGAGAGAGCCATGCATGTGGAAGAAAAAAAACCCATAAAACACATTTCCGTACTTTCATTTCCACCCCTCCTACCACATCAGAGCAAGAGAGGAGTCAAGGGCCTATCTGCTTCAATAAAAGAAAGTGTGGTGCTTTCTTAAAATAGATCTGATTCAGGAAGGCACATGGCAGCATGTTACAACTTTAGGTGATACCATCTAGTCACCTGGCCAAGAACAATAAATGATAAGGAGAAAACTACCAACAAAATTAAAGTATATATGCACATACAAATGCACATACACATAAAGGAGAATATGCTTTCAACACAGAGCTCAGAATGGATCCCTGTGCTAAGCCACTCAGTCACTATAACACTGATACAAATTACTTTCCCATGCTTTATCCCATGGCCTTCCAAATGACAGTGGATCCAGGAGCTCGAGGCCATACAACACCACACAGCGGGCAGCTGTTGAAGAAGCCAGTGTACAGGGGACACCAAAGACATGCCATCTTTAACCATCTTCCCTCAACGTTATGAAAGAACTAATGTACTTCACACAAACATACTTAAGATACATGCTCATGTGTGCATTCACACATCCACCCAGACTGACAGCATGGTATTCAATGACATGTCAATGATCATTTAAGACCTTTTTTTGTGCACACTTGGTGATCCTCATGTTCATCTTAATTCCTACTGTAGCCACCACTTCTGGGTGAAGAAAGGCAGGAGAGCTGCACAGATAATGAAAAAAGACACTGCAGACAGACAGGGCTGGTTTTCAACCTTTCCCCCAAAGCCAAGAGACAGCCAAATGGGCTCTCCCAGCACTGACACAAAAAGCAATCAGACTTCTCACCTGAAGGACAAGGAAAATTGCTCATCACAGGGCTCTGGATTCGTAAGTCACATATCAAAAACCAGAGAGATACCCTGTTCCATTCCTCATGTACCTAATCCTTCCCTGGGAGTTCCGGAACACCAACTGAGTCTATTTTCTTTAGCAAACTTTAGGGCACATATTCTAAACAAATGAGAAATTGGAAGTAGACGTACAGCATGAGGGGAAATGCTGTTTTCTTTAATGGCAGCTCATAACTGGGAGTGAGAGCTGTGAAAATACCCAGAAGGCCCCCAGACAACGCTACCACCCAGAAGGCTCCTTGCAAGGCCTGGCTTGGACCCAGGGACACCACAGCACTGCTCATTTTGGGGGCCCACAGCCTCCTGAAGATTCTGCTGACTCAACAGTGTGCAATATGTACAATGCACTTGCTGCAAGGTCTTCATAAAGCCTCTTTCCATATGAGGCCCTTTTATCTTAGCAGGTTAACTTACAGTTAGCCTACCTCTTTCAAGCCAGAACCTTGTCTGAGGATTACCATTCCCATAGCTCTAGTGTGCAGGAGAAAAAGCCAGCTCTCTGGGGGAAGAGACTCTACTAGGAGGGGCACATGCAGCTCCAGCGCCCCTTCCTAGAAGGAAAGCGGAGATCTGTTTTTTCTGCAGTCAACAAGGGTGGCATTCAGAAATCTACTTTGGGGACTCAACATTTCTGCCTTAGATTGACTACAAATCACTTCACCTAATTGGTTCCTTTTGCTTTTACAGAATCGAGTGTCATATGTCAGTATAGAGAATCCTGCTTCTCTCTTGCTGAGCACGACTGCTTCTGGCTTGCTTCGGAAGCAATGAAAACGTCCGTTACAGTCTAGGCTGTTACCTTTTTGTGAATGTCCAGAGGCTTGCAGGTAATGTGACCCGAACAAGACTTTCTTTCTTACTCCATAGTTGCAATAACAAAGGTCCTAAATGTTTAAGGAGAATGAATTCAAGGTAAAATAAAGTAAGTTTTCTGGGGAAGGTAAGGAGCATGACAAAGGACCTGGTGAACTGCTCCTTTGCTACACCCGCTCTAACTCTCAGGGAGCAGATCCTGCATCTGCCACCAGCCAACAGACCAGGCTAGAAATGTCCTGTAGATTCAAACCCCAGAGGTCATTAAATGGTGACCCCGCTATCATCTCTCACACACAGTGGGGAATCCCTTGTCCTAGAACACCCCTCCCTTGCATGTAACTATTTGAGCTATAAGGTCAAGGTCAGAATTTGGTTTTCAAAGCTGTCTATAGTCGGCCCCTTCCTTTAGATGTGAATGGTCTTGGTGGTGCCCTCAGTATCCCAGCAACCTCTGATCTCTAACCTCACACCCCACCAACAAACATAAAAAAATAAAGTCCATCCAGTGAATTTACCCCTTCAGTTACCTCCTCGGGAATACCTTCCCCTGCCCCAACTGCCACTGCAATGAAGCTCTGATGCACCCAAAACTTAGCACTTTAATATCAACTGCCTAGTATTTTACAGTAGTCATTTAATCTAAGATGCTGTCATTTAATCTGCCCTGCTCAAGTAATATGGACTTTGAAGACAGGCACTGCACCATGTGCTTGTTAATTTCTGAAAATAGAATATACATACATTCTCTCTGCCTACTTGCTGACTAGTAGAGAAAGTAAAGCATTACTCTCTGGAACAGTCTCACCACCAAGCCAGTCTCTGAATTTCAGGTAATTCCATGCACCTTTTAATTCCCTAAAATACAAGGGCTTTACTCTCCCCTCTGCTGCTAATGCTGGTGCTTTAGGGTCTGCAGGCCAGTGGCTCATTTCCCAAAGATACCACTAACTGCAAAAGAAATCCCTCGCATCACATCTCTGCCAGCTATATGTAATCCAAAACCTTCCAGTGTATTTAAAAATGTCATTGTCTAGAGTAGAATAACATCCTCTCGCTTTATAACAGAGCTTTTAACTACAGCAACAAACAATTCTGTGGTTTCTACCTTTCTTTTCTAAAGGCTAAAGAATTTGCTGAGTGTGCCAGTGGCCTCATTAAATGCAAGCAACCAACCCTTCTGATTCTGGCAGAACTTGAAATTTTTCCAGGGAGTAGAATGCCCTGTTCAAAGAAGCAGATACCCTGAATACAATGTTTAGAAGAGACCTGGAGAACCCATGACATGTACCTGAAAAATACTAGTCTGCTTTTGAAGTCTTATATAAGGCTAGGTCTTCTGCGTGAACCAAGTGACAATCCGGGCATCGGAGACTTAAGGGTACACTTGTATGCAATACACACACTTTTTTAAAAAGCCAATAGGAATCTCTACTGTTAAACCAAAAACACACAGGAATAAATTTTCTCACTCTCTTTCCCCTAGGAATCATTATTTAAAATGGAAGACTTAAATGCTGGAATTTAGCTCAGTGGTGCCATGCCTGCTTTGTAAGCACAAGGTCCTGAGTTCGATCCCTGGTACCACAAAAAAAAAAAAAAAAAAAAAAGGGAAGAC